CCCGCCGCCACGACGCCTTTCCTGGACCTGCACTGGCCCGTCCGCAGCCTGTGGCCCGAGACCCGGCCGCTTTTCTACCACATCGAGCGGGAGATGATCCGTCACATGCAGGAGGTGAAGCAGAGCATCGAGTTCATGGAGAGGCTGCACCAGAAGATCTTTGAGGAGATCGATCAGACATCCTCCTGCACGGGGGTCTTCAAGCCCATCGCCTTCCAGGAGCTGGGGAGGGACGGCACCACCTTCGCCCTCAGCCTGGACACGAAGGAGTTCTCCCCGGAGGAGCTGTCGGTGAAGCAGGTGGGCCGCAAGCTGAGGGTGAGTGGCAGAACGGAGAAGAAGCAGGAGGACGGGAAGGGCTCCTACACCTACAAGTGCCAGGAGTTCAGGCAGGAGTTCGACCTGCCGGACGGCGTCGACCCCGAGGCCGTCACCTGCTCGCTGTTGGGAGGCCAGCTGCAGATTCAGGCGCCGCGGGAGAACCCCGCCAACGACGGGAAGGAGAGGATCGTCCCCATCAGCTTCACCTCAGCCCCGGCCGTCACCGCCTCCTCCTCCAGCGCTGCAGCAGAGGGGAGCGGCACCCCCACCTCAGAGAGCACCCCCACAGAGAAAAACTGAAGCCTGCCAGCCGTCTTTGGTCCGTAGTTGTACGGGAACGTGGAGCTCATCACCTACACGTGAACCGAGTGAAGCGCCGCCGTCTCCCTGGTGCAGCTTTATCTGCCAGACGGAGGCGACATGGAGCTGATCCCACCCCCCCCACCCCGCACTAATACTTTATTAAACGGTCCTTAGATGTTTGCACGTTGCCCAGATACTGGTTTCATCACCGGTCTTTTAAACTGGTTTGTCTGGCACACGTTTTCTGTGTCTGGCTGCTGATTGAGTTGAAGTTAAAGAACCGTCAACATTTTCCTGACATTTGCTGTTAATCAATTTTTAATAAGAACTGAACCTGCATGTGCTTCCTGGTCCACGAACTGGCGGCGTCTCCTTTAACCCGTGAGCGAATAAAGACACGAGACACCAGTTTTTCCCCTTTCTTTGTAAAATAATTCTCAATAAACTTAATTTATTCACAAACTGCTTTTCAAATTGCCATGTCGTCATTTTTTTTTAAATCACATACAATAAAAAACATTTTCTAAAAGACAAGAGATGTCCGAGACTCTCGCTAACTCTGTACACGGCTCCTCCTCCTCGTCACGGAGCTTTTCTCACTTATTTTTTTTCAAACACGATGCGTTCATGACGACAGTCTCGCCGTGCTCAGACATCAGATTAGAAATATTAAGAAAAACAGCAGAAAATGAACAGAAGGACTAAAAATGTAACAGCTACAGTACACGTTTCCTTTTCTTCTCTGTTAGTTTCGTCTTTTTTTCTTTTTAATGTTTACAGAATAATAGAGTATGTTTACTTAAGGCTTATGCTGAGTGTTATGGACCAATCAACAGAAACGAACCAAACCAGGAGGCGGGCGGGAAGGGTGTGTGTGTGTGTGCTTTCCTATGTGTGTAATGGGGACACTGTGTTTAATTGTGTTACAGGGACACAGCATGAATTTAGGATTTTTCCTTTCACAAGTTTGGGAAAATTAACCTGTAGCCTTGTTTCTTTCTTACCTTCAGCACTGATCAGGACTTTCTAAGTGACACCTATCACAACTTTAATTTCATCTTAAATCAGCGGTTAAACATGTAGCACCACGGCGTACCTCTGCCAATTTATTCTCGTGTCACAG